TATATCGTTATCACAAATTTTCAAATGTATATCGTGATAAATATTTTTGGTCATATCGCCCTGCTCTACTAGAGACGCACATAATACTGCAGTCACACCTAACGGGAGGAAATACAGCTTCAGTGACCTCATCTCAACGCGTTTAACATACGTGCTTCTGTAATAAGCTGTTTGTGATAGTCACAGATGAACTGTGATAAAGTCAGATATCTTCTGCTGACAGTAACGACGTACAGTCTGGTCTGAACCTCAGAGATGAAGGTGGGCACTCAGCTTGAAGCTGCCTGAGTCTTTACTTCAAACGTGAAGCTTAAAGGAGAATGAGATGAACTTAAAAAGTGTAATTTTAGTTTTGCAAATTTTAAGGCAGAAAATGTCAGGATGCATCTGTTTTAGAAAGCAGAAAGTGCTCACAGTACATGAGTGAGAGATGGTAATCTCACTTTCTGCGAGTCTCCACATCCTGACAGTGAAACCTGTGACATTACAGTCGTACGTGTGCAAACATCGAGGACGGTCAGCTCTGGAGGTTTCCTCGGGGCTGTGAGCAGACCTTAATCCAAAGCTCTTATGAAAGACTTCATTTCAAACTTCTGTTGGATAAGTAAGGAAGTGCAGTATTTGTACAGATATGAATACTTTGTGCCCGGCTCGTCTCTCACTGACTAACTGATTGGTAACTATGCCAATAAAATACAACATAGACTCTTGTCTTATTAATGAATTCATGTATTTATTTTGATTTGACCAAAAGAAAGATCAGTAACTGTCTGACCTGTTTGGTTTTTAAGTTTTTAAAAGGATGGAGCCGCCTCCTCAGACTGTACTCAGTGATCAATAATGTGAACCTCTCTCTCTCTGCTGTGGCTCTGAGTTGTGTTCAGCTGCTTCCTGCATGGACAGGTGAGTTTGCACCTGTGAGTGAGGAGTGTCTTTATCGGCTGATTTTTCATGAAATCATGAAATAATAAAATCTGAATCTTGACTTTGTCGCCTTCTTGTGACCCGTCAGTGAATCTGTCAGTTTTTATATTTTTTAAATGTACTCAAAAGAAGGGGTTGCTGTAATTAGATTACTTTATGCAGGCATAGAGAATTACATTGAAGCTATTATGGGATGCTCGTATTAACGCACTTCATTTTCATTGTTAAGCTTCAAAGGGGAGAATCTGTAAGAGGACTTCATTTAAGTGAGCCGTGATGTGTGAGTGTGCTCGATGAACTCGTGATGCTCTCTGAGAGGCTGTTTGGGCCTCTGAGAGCTCTGCTGGAGCTGGCGGGAGGTTTTTAAGGGGGCTGTGGACCTAATTAGGTCAGGTTGGTTTTGTGTGTGGCTGGAAATGTGCACAATGAAGCCACACCGGAGTGGTTTTCTGGCAGGCTCTTATTTTGATTCATTTAATACATTTTTTGGCCTCATTGTCTCCGTCTGATTCGCAGCGGCGCGCTCTGAAACCTGATGAGGCCGAGGAGTAAATGGTAAAATTGCAGCCTGTGAGCCGGGCAGCGTGGGGGCTCGGCATGATTCCACCGCGCTTTGTTCCCCGGGAGGGCTGCTCGCACGCGGACACACGAACCGATCGCATCTCAGTGTGCTGCGGCTGATGTCTCCACTGTACATTGTTTGTTTACAGTCTGTCTCCTGTTGCCCCGCAGCTCGCCACGTGGGACTCGGTTCACGGCCTGAACGGCAGCCTGAAGGAGAGCCGGATAGAGAACGGCATGCAGGGAGTCACGGTCAAAGTGGTCACGTTACTGGTAAGTGGACGCTATCGTGGACACAATCAGTCGATCCATCTTCCTGTAAGAAAGGAGAGCACAAGCTGACCAGAAAACACGAGGTCAAAGGTCAAGACTTTTCATTTCCTCATAGTCTTCTTATTGTAAGCAAAGGGGTGGTCCTTTGTGATCATTAGAAAGAAGCAGGTTTAAGGGTCCCGGTGACAGCAGAGTAATCGGGGTAATCAGAGTAATCGGGGTAATCAGGGTAATCGGGGTAATCAGGGTAATCGGAGTAATCGGGGTAATCAGAGTAATCGGGGTAATCAGGGTAATCGGCGTAATCGGGGTAATCAGGGTAATCAGAGTAATCGGGTATTTCAGACGTCCCTTCCTTCAGCAGTGTTCGGTGTCCTCGGTCAGATGAGATTTGTTGGAATCCGAGGTTTGGTGCTCGGATGCTTTGTGCATGATAAAGATCTGCAGTAGCTGAATATCTCTTGTTAGCATTCACTGATGCTCCCTGCAGCTCCAAGAGCGTGCGATCCAGAGGAGGGCGGGCGCTGCATGGCGAGTAAATCAACAGCATAAACAGTGAAGCATCGCAGCGCCGTGTTTACATCCGTGCTGCTTGCGTTACGATGGATAGATCCACTCCAGGGTTGTTGTACTTGTTGTTATTATTACAGCATTTTCAGTTCAGTCCTTTAAGCGTCGGTTCAACTGCGTCTCAAAAATATCAGCACAAAATAAACCCCAGAGAATCCACAGAAAGCTCTCAGCCAATAGAAGAACTGCTTTGTACGTTTTTAGGTTTGGTGTTTGATTAGCTTCGAGTCTCCGCGCTCGCTCGTGTTTCTCGGTCTAAGCAGCTCCTCCGGTCGCTGTGATTAGAAACACCAGCAGCAGCTTCCTCCAGCACTTCCTCTCGTGCCGGCACAGCGGCGTGGAGACGCAGGTGTAACCGAGCGAGACTAATACCTTTACCCTGCCATTCATCCACTGCAGCTGCAACACTTCAGGTCTCACGCTGCCAGAAACCTGCCCTCAACACTTTAACCACCAAACTCGGCACCCGTGCTTCTCTACGGAGAAACACAGCATGTGCCTCTGTGAACCTTCTTTATCCCGAGCACGCTGTTGTTTTAGGCTCTGCTCAGAGTCAAAGCGAGCCTCTCAGCGTGGCCTGTGGGAACAGCCCCCGCAGTCCCTGATTATTAAACATGGAGGTTCGTGTCATTCAGAAGATGAGGAGACGACGCCTTTCTGGGAATAACTGCAGATTGTGACCTGCCCTGTATTAGCATCATAGCTAAACGTGCAGTTATACTACCTGTGAACACGTCCTCTCCTGCAGACACCTGGTGCCGCCTAAAAAACAACCAAGTGAATCCAGATGATTCTGTTTAATATCTGAGATCGAACGGCTGAAAAGCTTTGAACAGAAAGAAACGTTGTCTTGTTGCAGCACATTAAAGGCAGCGTCACATCGCCCTGTTGTGGATATTCAGTCTGGGCAGATTTTCTCTTTAGTGCAGCTGGAGCCGAGTAAACTTCAGCTTTGGGGTATTTTTGCATTTTTTAGGTCCATTTCTAAGATGCAATGATGAAATGAAACTTTCAGCTAGTCAAACTCAGCTGGAGAGTTTTCACCGTTTGTGCGCTCTCCTCCTAAAGGCTGACAAAAGTTGATCTCGCTCTTTGTTTCTCGGTGTTTTTGCTCGGAGCTGCAGTTTGTTGAACGCGCAGCATCGCTCGGCCCTTTTCTTCACTGCTCTTTCTCACTGCAGGAGGATCCTTTTGTCATGGTGGCGGAGAACATCCTCGGGCAGCCGAAGAGATATAAAGGCTTCTCCATCGACGTCCTGGACGCCCTCGCCAAGATCCTGGGCTTCAAATACGAGATCTACCAGGTGGGGCTGACCAGCGGTCTGTCATTTGGTTTGAGCACTAACTCAGCTTCACCTCAGCTCCAATCTCACCATTTAAAATACCGTTTAATTTCATTTATTCAGCACCAAATCACAACAACAGTCGCCTCAAGGAGCTTCATTGATTATAATCTCAAACTTTCCTGTTATCTCAAAGATTCTTGACAGAGCAGCTGTCAAACAGCTGGCAGATCATCTGCAGAGGAGAGGCTTTTGTTTTCGGGCTGATATAAACGAGCTTCTGAGACGTTGGAATAAACTTGCTGATTTTCTTCTTCTCCTTCCTCTCAGGTAGCGGACAGTAAATATGGAAGTCGGCTTCCCAACGGCTCGTGGAACGGCATGATTGGCGATCTAATCAACAAGGTAGGGCCTGCACCAGCTTTCTGTTCTCTTACACTCGGTCACTTTGGAGCGTGAACGAAAACCCTTCCTCTCCCTCGCCCTGCAGAGAGCGGACCTGGCGGTGTCCGCCATCACCATCACGCCAGAACGGGAGAACGTGGTCGATTTCAGCAAGCGCTACCTCGACTACAGCGTCGGCATCCTACTCCGAAAGCCCGAAGAGAAGATCAACATCTTCTCTCTGTTCGCGCCCTTCGACCTCGCCGTCTGGGCCTGCATCGCCGCCGCAATCCCCGTGGTGGGAGTGCTCATATTCCTCCTCAACAGACTGCAGGCGCTGCGCTCCTCGTCCCAGAATGCACCTCCCGGTCAGCCGGCTAACGGAGCGGGGTCGGGCACCCTGCACAGCGCCATCTGGATCGTTTACGGAGCGTTCGTGCAGCAAGGTGAGCGAAAGGTGACATCGAGAGGAACGCTGTTAGGGACGATTCGGAGCAGGCAGGCGTTCCCGTGTTCCAATTTTCCATAAAAAGCCTCTTTCAGGAATTTGAGCAGTCATCATGCTTGACTGTGACTTTGTCCTCAGTGTTTTAAATGTCATGACTTTCCAAAAAGTTCTCTGTGAACACTTTCCAAGAATTCTGTAACAGAAAAAACTTCCTCTCGCTCCAAAATCTGTTGTTTCTGAGCGTCACCTCTGCCCCTGAAATGTCCTCAGTGTGGACGTAAAACAGTGCACACACACACACACACACACACACACGCTTTCCCTGAAGACGCATCCAGCTGCATCTATTATGGGCTGGCAGGTTGCCTGGGAAACCTTTTAGGCCTAACACTGTGTGATTAGACGCAGCCTCTCGGCTCGCTGTGATGAAGCACCGCTCTCACCTGCCGGTTGGATCAGGTGGCAGGCGGGCTCCTGGTTGCTGAGAGCAACTGAGAGGTCGCAGGTCTGACGCCCACTCCAGCTCGTGGGCACAAACACTTGCATGATTTAAAAATGGGCACTCGACACTCGAAAATCCCGACGTCTGAATAACGACCTCTGTGTGTGTGT